TAGCGTCCATCGATATATCATAACCGTTTCCATATGACAAAGAGTGCGTGTCCGGTTTTCCTAATCTAGTCGGCTAAGTATGTAAGGCAGGAATTCACAGAAGGACTTGGAGTGACACAGGAGAAAGGCAAATGCGGCACGGAATGTGATTGAACTTAAGAAAAGAAGGATATGGGTGTATAGATTAGGTATACTACTTACGCCGACTCGATTGGGAAAATCACACATGCGATCTCAAGTAAACTCTCCGAATACATATTTAAAAACTATACGTTGGTGTCCCTAATCCTATCATTACCTCTTTTGCTGTAACCCATCTTTAACATCTTACATATATATACATATATAAATTTGTATTAGGATATTGAGTGACACATTAATTTTGTATATCTATTTTCTGTTACGGAAAGGACGTAAGTAAGTTGCAATAACTTTTGTCCAATCCATTTGTCTTTTGTTGCAATAAAATTGATTTAAACAAAACAAAAAGAACATAATTCGCGATAGAATCTCAGAAAGGGGTATGCGACACAGAGTACAAAAGATGAAGTGCTTGTCAGCAAATATCAGGTTATCGCGTTATCAAACTTTATCCGAAAATAAAATGGTATACACCCAGGTCAGGTCATACACCCAGGCCTATCCTGAACCACTGCATACTTTAAACCTAAAATAAACTTCTTTTTTTAAAATTAATATTTAGGTGATTACAAAATCCTGATACAAAAATGGTTAACAAAAGCAAAATAAACGTTGCGCCGCCCGGGAATCGAACCCGGGTCGCAAGAATGGGAATCTTGCATGATACCACTACACCAGCGGCGCTCACATAGGCTACCCCAGTATAACTGCCACTGAGAAAGTAGGTAATGATAGTCACAACTCTGGACCTGAATGGAATATAGTTACAGGTTGAAAACCTTAATAAAACTTTATCGTAACGGTGAATTAATGTCATCTTCTGTGTAAAATTGACAGACATATAACCGCTATCATATTAATCCAGTCAAGCTGTTGTATGATACAAAAGGCGCAAATCGAAGATGTTGTCTCTCAACTCAGGCTACATGTCATATGGCAAACTCGGAATTAAAAGTCGATACGAATGACAAAAGGAACTTGCACGCTATCAACAGGGAAAAAAACACGACAATTTACAAAATTTATTCGCGAAAAAAAAGTATCAGATGTGTTTTTTTGTTTCAATGAACATGGGTTTCGATAGAATCTCAGAAAGTGGTACGCGACACAGAGTACAAAAGATAAAGTGCTTGTCAACGAACTTCGATTCGAGTTATCGCGTTATCATACTTAATCCACAATACAATACCCGTAGACAGGAAATGACGTTTTCTGGGTCAAATTGGATGATACGGTTAAATGACATCTCCTTCAAAACAAGCGAAAAATATTTTTTTTTATAGTATTATTACCCATGGGTTCAATACTCTTTAGTGTAAATATACAGGTTAAGGCGTTCACAACCAGGGGACTGAAGGATGGATTTTGAAGACGCCAACTTAAATCTATTGATTTCTTTCAATCGACTTTCCAAAATTGGACACTCGCCGAGTGTGTTATTCAAAATCTAACAATGAATTGAAGAAAGTTGCCGGTTGAAACCCTGAATATAAGAACTTTATCGAAACAGTTAATTGTTGTCATCGGTTATTAGACTAAAATTGATCGTCTACTTCCATGACTTTTGTTTAAATTGACAGACAGCTAACCGCTATTAATACATCTCCAGCACACACACAGGCATACACACATAGGGCGATATTAGCCTGGTGGCATAGGACTAGTAGTTAGCGCCTGATAAGGCAGCTCCTGCGAATTCCTCAAAATTGTATTGATTAAAAGATATGCTAATTGTATTGACTGTATAAAAATTGTTTATCTATGTACTGTAAAGCGCTTTAAAGTGACTTATGTTAGCTAGATAACTTTCCTTATGTAAATAGTTAGGTGATTATAAAGTTCTAATGCCTTTTTATGTTCTCCATTCATGTGAAACAAAAGCAAAATAACGTTGCGCCGCCCGGGAATCGAACCCGGGTCGCAAGAATGGGAATCTTGCATGATACCACTACACCAGCGGCGCTCACAATGGCTACGGAAATAAAACTGCCAATCAGAACGTTAGCTACGACAAGATTAACCGAGTTTGTGTATTTATGCACGAACATTCAGGACCTGAATGGAAGATAGTTTCCAGTTGAAACCCTAAATAGAACTTCTACTTCTGTTTAAAATTGACAGACAGATAAACGCTATCATCTAAATACTGATGTATGGTACAACAGGCGCATCATGATTGAAGGCATTGTCTAAACACTATGTCAGCATGCTTGTTTTGTTTCAATGAATATAAATTCGCGATCGAATCTCAGGAAGGGATATGCGTCACAAAATACAAAAGATGAAGTGCTATGTCAGCAAACATCAGGTTATCGCGTTATCAAACTTTATCCGAAAATAAAATGTTATACACCCAGGTCAGATCATACACCCAGGCCAATCATAAACTACTGCATACTTTCAACCTATTGTTTTTAATTTTATTTAACATTTAGATGGTTACAACGTCTTATGCTTTTTGTGTACTGTATTCATGGTAAACAAAAGCAAAATAACGTTGCGCCTCCCGGGAATCGAACCCGGGTCGCAAGAATGGGAATCTTGCATGATACCACTACACCAGCGGCGCTCACTCAGGCTTCCCCAGTATAACTGCCACTCAGAAAGTAAGTAATGGAAGAAAGTTGCAGGTTGAAAACCTAAATAAAACGTTATCGTAACGCTGGTTTGATGTCATCGGTTATTAGAATAAAATCTGTCGTCTACTTCTATGACTTCTGTGTAAAATTGACAGACAGATAACCGCTATCATCTAAATTCTCTCATACTGATGTATGTATGGTACAACAGGCGCATATTGATTGAAGTCATTGTCTAAACACAATGCCAGCATTTGTTTTAAAGAACATAATTCGCGATGGAATCTCAGAAAGTGGTATATGACACAGAGTACAAAAGATGAAGTGCTTGTCAGCAAACATCAGGTTATCGCGTTATCAAACTTTATCCGAAAATAAAATGTTATACACCCAGGTCAGGTTATACATACACCCAGGCCTATCCTAAATCAATTAATATTTAGGTGATTACAAAATCCTGATACAAAAATGGTTAACAAAAGCAAAATAAACGTTGCGCCGCCCGGGAATCGAACCCGGGTCGCAAGAATGGGAATCTTGCATGATACCACTACACCAGCGGCGCTCACATCTGATACAGATATAAAACTGCCATTCAGAAGGTTATATATATACTTTGTAAAATTGACAGACAGATAACCGCTATCTCTGTAACGTTAATGTAACATGTACTCAAACGAATGCATGGTGGAACTGGTTGCACATTGAAAGCGTTGTCTAACCTTAGTGTCAATTGGGAAGGGTATAAAAGCTAAAGTGCTTTGTAAACAAACTTGGATTTAGCTTATCGCAATCGGCGTGCCTTTTAATGTTTATTAAAACATAGCGATGATGTCACAAGTGTCCAATAAGTCCATGAACTATCCAATAAGCCCATGAGCTGTCCAATAAGTTTGACCAACTGTCCAATAAGTTTGACCAACTGTCTAATAAGTTACCTGTCTGTCTTATAAGTGCTCAACTTATTGGACAGTTGTGACATCACATCCTAGAGAGGGGATGGGTGGAGCTAAATTGGAGTAATTTAGCGATATAGGTAAAACAAAAATAACAAATACATGGATTTTTTAGTATCATATTAAATCAAAATAATATATAAAATACCAGTGGTGAATTATCCTTAAAATCCAACAAATTCAACAGCTAGAGTACTATACGTACCGGCAGTGAATATATCCTCATCAAGTTTTAACAGCTATCCTGTCTACTTCTTGTGTAATTTTCTCCTTTTCAGATAGGTTTGAAAATATGTTGCTTTACTCGTAAATTTGGCCTCTTATTCTCATCATCCTTTTCCAAAATGTCAAAGGTTAACCTATTGTTGGACACGTGAGATATACCCTAGTTTTGACCGAGGAATTAAAAAACCTTTGATTTGCGAAACAACTATCATACATGTATTAATTTTAATGCCTACTGCGTGTTTCCGAGAACTTTTAATCACGAGGTTACGCAATTTTTACGTCAAAATTGAAAAACAGACACATTGAACACGAACGTTGTCCCTTTGGGTGTGTCTATTAAAAGACTGCCTGTAAAGTTCACAGTTCATAGATGATAGCGGTTGCCCTAACAATATAACAATACATAACAAGCTAACCGGATGGCAGGAACACGCCAATTATAGTTTGAAGGAAGTAGAAAAATCCAGTCTGAAATTGCTGATCCTGTTCTTACTTCTCTGATATTGTAAAAATCATGTTCCGTTTAGTCAATTAACTCTTCCTTAATCGTCATATTAATGTTTAAACAAACGGTTCATATTAATCACTTCAAGGAAGGGTGTTAGAGTGAGCTATGCTTCATTTTATCGTAAGAGGAATCTGGGGATTTAAAAAGAAGTGAAAGCATACTTCTTTAATTGAACTTTTATCTAACCCAATTTGAACAATCAGAAATATTTCCCCTTACTTTGCCGAGATGAAAACTAAGATATTGAAAGGATTTGAGATACATTTATATAGAAAACTTCAATAAAGGATACGATTACAATATTTGTGAAACTGATTCACTTGCTATCTTAGTTTACCGGAAGTCAGTTAGGAAAATAACACGCATCCACTTTAACCGATACGGGCACTATTGTATTACATCAAGGGGATGAAAAGTTAAATAATTATAAAGATACCTGCAAATACATTGTTCCAATGCGGATATAGATATTTGGATATATTGTTCAAGTGCTTACGGCATCATGTCGTCACGTCGCGAGCTGGTGTTCTTATATCCTTAAGTTTAATTTCTAAAAGTAATCATTAACTTTAAAGAAAGGGAGATAACTCCACCGGTGGGTCAGAGTGACAATCTGGAACGTGATACGGGAGATATGGGCTTTCCTAGGAAGATGGGAGAACGCAAACGGGTGGCTGTGGTAAGTTTAGGGAAAGCTAGTAGGGAACTTGCGTGGTAATTTGTAAAAAAATATCCAGGAAATAATCATGTTTAATTTGTGGATTGAGGGGCCAAATATGTAACCTGTATGCATATGCGGATATCGGTATATATTGTTAACGTAATAAATTGGGTTAGACGTGTTATCTCCCTACACGGCATGTTTATCTTGTAGTGTGTATAGGTACGTATAGCTTAACCTTTTGGTCAGTCAGCTCATAAAATATTGAAATTTAAAATAACCGAGTACGCCGAGACTTACATTTGTTACATTTTTAATACTTAACTTATATATAGGATCTTACACGAGTTTCCATTTCATATCAGATTTATGAAAAGTGTCTAAGAATTTTTCAATTTAGCGAGTCTCTGGCGAGCTAAAATGAAATATTCGTAATGAGTTTCATAAATTTCATATGAAATGTAAATGAGTGTAAGAGCCTTTCTATCACATAATTAAGATTTTTGGCATGTATTCGTGTAAAACGGCAATTTCCATGCAATCTTGAAATAATATATGTTATCACAGATGTTATTATGTCCAACTGCAATATGTGTAATGTCGGCCTTCTACCTGAAGAAATATTATCATTATTGTCTTACAGGTGACCGGATCCAACAAGGGTTTAGGGTTTGCCATTGTACGGGGTCTATGTAAACAGTTTGACGGAGATGTCTACCTTACAGGTCAGTATAGACAGTAAAACCTGTCAAAACAGAACACCACTGGGAACAAGGTAACGTTCCCATTGCACAGGTTTTTGGATTAGGGGTTCACTTTATGATGAACACGTTCTAATCCGACACCCTATAGGGCATAACATTGTGGTAAGATCAGAATGTCGGAATATATACCTGTCTTATTTAGTAGATTTCATAAGAAATATTATTTCATTAGATTAGAAGGGATATCGAAATACTTAATGATCGGATAAGGCAGGTTTTATTGCGCATACAACATACAACACAGTAATGTTTTGCATGATATTATTAAGTAAAATCGATAAATTATATCATAGTTTCGACCTACACGAAATAAATAAGAATGATTAGAATTAATGTTATTGTGTTGTTTTTAGTATAAACATATTTTAAGCTTCAAAAACTACATAAGATATATGCGCAAAAGTTATATCAAGTTAAAAAAAGACACATATAACAACATTTTGATAGCAACGATACACATATATACTTTACTACATTGAAACAACTGGGAATTTATCAGGATGAAAGCAGAAACAGGAAGGAAGTACAAGAAAATAACGAAAATATTATTTAAACTTTTCAAATGTATACACAAATATAATTATGTTTACTCCGTTTACACGCCGAATACCACTTCTCCGTTATACAATCCACTTCCTTCTAGGTATCACTACAATCGGGAACTATCGACACTTTCCGTTTACCCAAAAGATGCGTTACATTATGTAGAATATGGCATGTTCATAAAATCTGAAGTAAAAAAAGACGTTACTTTGCCTTGTAGCTAGTCATGTAAACGTCGATGAAATTCGGTGAAGCAGAGCATTGTGCTCGATTTACACGCACAAGGGTGTGCACCTGTACTAAGTATCAATCTATTGGGTCACCGTATTAGTTAGTGCAAGGGAAAACATCGTTGTTTTGATGTCCAAGCCAAATCAGTAATGCCACAGCCTGATGACGTTAGCCGTGAAAGGACAATTGACATGGTACATGTACATGGTGGAGCTAGGTATACGTGGCCAGAATAGCCATATCCAGTCTTTAGAGCAGGTTTACAGCCACGAATTCGACATCCGATCGGTTGGCCGCGGTATGGATACCGACCGTATCGTGTATACCGATTGTCCCAACTTCATATCCAAAGTATCTCAGCCTGGGCACAACAGCATTTACTATGATCTCTATGACAGTGATAACATGTTCTATTCACCGGGACGAGTCCCGATATCTACTCTGTAGCTAAAATGGCAGAACGCCAGTGTATCAAACGCTTGACATACGCTATCAGAACGCCTGTACGTAACGTCATGATCGTTTTGGCGGCGGAAGTGTCATGGTTGTAGGGTGGGCTATCGGACAATGGGCGCACACACCTTGTCATGGTACCTAACGTTGTTCCAATCATGGTGACAAATATCGTCACGCGTAAAGATGGACTTTGTTTCGTCAACAGAACATCAATGTGCTTGACTTGCTCTCGCTTTCCAATCTCTCAATCCAATTGAGCACCTCAAGGTAAAGTTTGACAGAAGAGTGCTAAATCGACGTCAGCAGCCTCAGGATCCCGACGAGGTCTATAAACAGACTCATCGCGTCCATGCGACGTCGTTGTCAGGGGTAATTTCACGCTGTATTAATTCTGTTAAACACTTCTGACGTCGTTTCATGGAGATATTTCAATGAAACTGAATTGAGTTTATTGATTCAAAACACATTGATCAATATCGATTTTTGACTGTTAATTTACAGCATTTTCAATACATTAATGAAATACTATCAACGCAATAATGTAACGTTTCTTTTGGGGACAGGGGTATATCAATTACTGGTTAAGTAGATGACTGGTATGCAATTATGTAGTATAGTGATGAAATAAGTTCTCTTTTCTTTGCCAGTCTATATATTTTAACATAGAAGCCCGAATGCATTCCTAAATCACGTATTAGACAAAAACCTTTCATTAAATACTTCACTGCTTGTAAAGCGCTTTTGCTTTGTTTGCTCTCGTTCGTTTATTCGGCCAATTTCACCCGAAAGGCTCAGAAAGCGAGAGGTCCCCGACCCTAAAAAAAAGCCAAAAACATTTCTTTAAAACAGTTCTCCTAATGTATTAATGAGAATGTATAAAGAGTAAAGAAGAAGTATTCAGTTTTGTCAAATTTCATAAAAGAAATCTACAGACATCTCTTTTGGCGTGTTTGCTTTATATTTTTCATACTGCACTGTTTGTACAAATGAATGGCTCATGGATATAATAAGCCAGTTCTGAATTACAATATACTGATTTCTAAAGCTTACTTGAAAATGAATGGAAATATAGTGTATAACATATCTCATGACATTAAATTAAGACAGCATTGTCTTTGCCAACAGCTCGAAACGAAAGCCTTGGTCAACAGGCTGTGCTGGACCTAAGGAAGGAAGGGCTGAACCCTAGGTTTCACCAACTGGACGTAACAAAACCAGACACTATTGTCAAACTACGGTCATTTCTTAAAGACACCTATGGTGGTCTGGATCTATTGGTCAATAATGCTGGGAAAATGGATGTAAATATTTCACATTGCAATTAATTTCTCCTAAAACATGTATTTCGAAAAAAATACCTTCAAAACCAACAAAATGTTTGAGTTTTTGTCGTTCGCTTTTCGTTCTTTTTGTCTTGTACAAGATTGAATATATGTAACAGGGTCCTCCAAAATGAAGGAGGTCGGCTACATAAGAAATGGTCCAGCTTATATATATTTAGTAAATGTTGACATGTATATTGTATCGAATCAATATGTATGAATACCTCTAATTGTGTATACTTGTTCGGGGTAGTTTCTGCGATTAACATTTTTCAAGTTTATAATCTGCTGTGTACCTTCATAGTAACCAGTGTTATCCGTGTTACTGTATAGTTATTAGCATAGTTATATAGTTATCCATTAACTATATAATTATACATGTAATTATATAGTAATTCGTCTATTTGTAAAAGCATCCTCGATAATCCTGTGGTTACGCTCGGTTTCCCTCTATGCACCCCTGGAATATGTCGTAGCAAAATTAGAGACACGCGGCGAGCTATTTAATTGGTATCGGGTAAATAAATATGACCAATCGCTAGTGTGATACCTGCCCTTTGAAGATTAGCAAGATGCGACACCCGACTTTAACGCCAGTCAATTTTACCGTAATGCGACCGCGGGATTCTTTTGATGTACACCAAAACGATTAAACAAGTCTTCCTATCCTATCCACAAGGTGACGCCCACTGAGCTTTCGATTTTGTTACGACATAGTGCAGAGAGCGAAAGTGAGAGTAACCCCTGGAGTATTGAGGGTGTTTGTATAATATATTGTCTACCTATGTACTAGTCCTCTAATTAAAATCGTTTTCTGTAACTCTAGATGGAGTTATCGGCTGCAAACGCTGAGTCCCTGATGCGGACCAACTTTACTGGACTGTGTAATGTGTCAGAGGTCCTCTTTCCGTTGTTACGTCCTCACGCTAGGTAAGTGTGTCGCACATCATTAATCAAACAGCGTTTTCACGAGGAATGTCTGTCGCACACCATTGATCAAACAGCGAATTCACTAGGTAAGTGTGTCGCACACCATAAATGAAACAACAAATTCACGAGGTAAATGTGTCGCACACCATTAATCAAACAGCGAATTCACTAGGTAAGTGTGTCGCACATCATTAATCAAACATCGAATTCACTAGGTAAGTGTGTCGCACACCATTAAACAAACAGCAAATTCACTAGGTAAGTGTGTCGCACACCATTAAACAAACAGCAAATTCACTAGGTAAGTATGTCGCACACCATTAAACAAACAGCGTTTTCACGAGGTAAGTGTGTCGCACACCATTAATACAACAGCGAATTCACTAGGTAAGTGCGTCGCACATCATTAATCAAACAGCGTGTCGCACACCATTAATCAAACAATGTGTCGCACAGAATTAATCAAACAGCATGTCGCACACCATTAATGAAACAGCGAATTCACTAGGTAAGTGTGTCGCACACCATTACTGAAACAACAAATTCACGAGGTAAGTGTGTCGCACATCATTAATCAAACAGCGTTTTCACGAGGAATGTCTGTCGCACACCATTAATCAAACAGCGAATTCACTAGGTAAGTGTGTCGCACACCATTAATCAAACAGCGAATTTACTAGGTAAGTGTGTCGCACATCATTAATCAAAAAGCGTGTCGCACACCATTAATCAAACAGCGTGTGTCACAGAATTAATAAAACAGTGTGTCGCACATCATTAATCAAAGAGCGTGTCGCACACCATTAATCAAACAGCATGTGTCACAGAATTAATAAAACAGTGTGTCGCACATCATTAATCAAACAGTGTGTTGAACACCATTAATCATCCAGCGTTTTCACGAGGTAAGTGTGTCTCACACCATTAATCATACATCGGTTGCACTACATGTATAAACATTTAAGATTGGCAAACATTACATAGTAACGATTCAGGAAAAAAACCCTCTTATGCTATTGTGAATAATTCATATTCTGGATACCTCCAGTTGGAATAGCATATTTTGACATGCAGTTTATAAATACGCGGACAAATGCATCTTTACGTACTAAGGCGTACAACCTTCTGCTACTTGCTATGTCAGATAAACACATATCGTGGTGTTACTTTATTGCCATACCTACAATCATTTTTATATCAATATAATGTTATCTGCAAACCATTGCTCTTTTTATCCAGACTTTATGTTAGCTCTGCTTTCGAAATAACAATCGTGGGCAAAATCACGTTGAAGACAGGCTGAAAAAAACCGAGAAGTTCAGGCATAAAAGGAGTTCCAGCTACAATGTTAATATAACAATATTACAGTGAAATATTGAAGTTTTTAATGTGTATTTTAATACAATTGCCACGCATGCGCAATCAGTGACAGAGTTGAAGTGCGGATATGAGACAGGTTGTCAATAAGCAACAGATGCTGACAACAGACCGAGGAGCATGTTAACCAGGTATAATACGGACACTTGCATTATTTTACATTAAGACTGGCTGTATATATATGTTAAGATTTACCAGGTATGCAATAATAAAACACAAATATTTATCATTTATATGATTTCAGGGTAGTCAATGTGTCAAGCCTGATATCAGTGGTGGCTTTGCGCAAATGTAGCAGTGAACTGCAGCAGAAGTTAACCAACCGAAATATTAGCTCGGAAGATCTGAAGCGTCTGATGCAAACTTTTGTAGAGTAAGTATTTTACATATCAACTCTGGTTTTTTTTAGAAGTTAAACCATGTTATTGTAAGATGATGATAGCAGCTTTAAGACCATTATTAAGAGTGATTAATATAAGTTGAAATTACTTGTTTCATAATTGTTGTAAAATAAATAAAGTTTATGTATTTAAGACAATTATAGCGTTTAACGTTACCCATATCGACCACATCAGTACTCTGTGTAAATTATTTGCCTAAATCTTCGTACTTTTCATTTTATTTCAATGTTTAGTTTAAACATCCTAAAAAAAAAAAAAAAAACCTGCATAAACCATTGCACCTTGTCTCGTATCCGTCCGTAGTTTGTTTAAATCGACACTTTTTATTGCATGTTAAAGCTTTTCTGGAACCATTATAACTTGTCACCCGTACAAGTGTTGTGCGCAGGTCATCGCACTTTGTCCTACACCCGTATTTTGCTTAAAATATGATATTTTGTTCCATATTAGCGCTTTGGGCCAACCATTTATGCATCATATATGGAAGATGTGACATTGCTAACTAAATTACATTTACTAGACAATTTCCTAAAATAGGTAGGAAGATGAATTATCTTTTTTTGTCCACATTCGGCTGCACAGTGAACAAATGACTGTAAAATGTAATGGGCTTGTCTGTCCCTTGCCCGGATGCTTCATGAAGGTCTGATGATTTTAGGACAATTTCTGCGAACACATTTTATGTGAAAATAAGAAGCACGTTTTCAATTCACAATAGGACAACCTTTTTTAGAAACATCAAACCAAGAACAATGATTAAGAGGATTCAAGAAACGCCGGATGCGAAATAATCAATAAAAATAGAAATGAAGAATCACATTTTTAAAAATAGTAATAGTGTTTCAACACAGAATCTCAAAAAAACAAGCAATATATTTACTGCGCTCATCGGTGTTGCTGAAAATATGAAGAATGAAAATAAATGCTCAAGTAGGTTGGAGGACTCGATGTGCCTGGACAAATACTCGCAAAATATATTAATGCACCACAAACCTGAGTTAAAAATTACAAAGTTGCAATACATTCTACTTTAAGTTGCGTTGGGACTCGTGGTGGTCATGGTTGGCCTACTGGTAAACTAACGGGTGCTTATGGAGTCTCCAAGATAGGGGCGACGGTCATGTCCATCATCCAACAGCGGCAATTGCTGAATGACACGAGGCCGGACATAGTGGTCAACGCGGTGAGATTTTGTAACACTGTCAATGTTTTTACCAATATTAAGCTGTCTCTGAAAGTAGAAATAGAAAGAAATATTAATCCATCAACTGTTAGATAGTATTCTCGTGTTTAAAATATAGTACTATAACAGTATCTAGTTCGGTTTCCAATCTTCCTATAGTACTCCGCAAGAACGCGGAGCATTATTAGAGGGTCGAAAATCGAAGTATAACTGATTTTGCCTTTTCAAAATTTAAGGAAAATGATTCTTCGACCTGATTGCATAGGAGTGTGCTATGAAACAATAAATAACACACCACAATATAAATAAAAATAAACTTTTATCTTGTTTCCATCTGTCTGAAATTATACATAAGTAAAAAAAAATATTTGGTTTCTGAATAAAAGACTTCTTACACTTAATGAACAACTGAGTAAAGCACCATTTAGAAGCATGGTCTTAAGACTGTTTTAATGGTTCTTGGGTTATTTTTAGATGATATTTCATGATTTGTACATAGGAGGAACTGGTCTATACCTGTGATTTCATCAGGTTGCTCCAGATTATCTGTATAGAGATATTTCCTGTGTTGTAGTGTTGTCCTGGATATGTGATGACAGACCTCACAGGTCAGAAAGGAATGAAAACCATCGATCAAGGTATCAGTCTAAAAAATAAACTCTTGTTTTGCTCAACTGGAGTTAAAAGACAAAGAAATTCAATGCAATGGCGCAGCGTCCATCATATTTTCCCTTCATTGTCCATCATTTGTCCATTATGTTATTTTTAACCACTTGACTTAATGTGATTTTAATTCAGTGCATCACATGGGAAGGTAAAAGGGTGTGGTTGGGATGGGGACTTTTAGTTTGAATGTTGTATCTGAGTTCCAATAAGCGCTTATAGGGAGATAGGCGTGTAAATTTTTAATGACAACTCATCTCGCGCTGATTTTCATTAGTCAGACATTTATATTTCCACGTGCGTGTCCTGTTCATGGGCAACTCATTACGATATACAGTACCACGTACCATACATTTAACTATTTTATGTTAAGTTCTAGTTTTTGATATATCTCGTTTTCAGCGTTTCAAATTGATGCATTTTAAATCAGGGCATGTTGGTAACTTCGTGGTAATAAATGATGATAGTAAATAAAAGATGAAATAAAAATATGCATTGCATATCTTGACGACGTAATTAACTGTTATTTCAATAATGGAAAATGAAAAAAGGAGAGTGATACAGGCTGAACGGGCCATTTTCATTAGTTTCTTTTTTTGTTTAATTTCATTAATACTTTTAAACCGAATGGATATGGATAAAAAGTGAAGCCTTTAAAGGCCCCTCTAATATTCCGTGTTCAACATATACAATTGAAGCTACTAAAACCTATTGAAATTGTTCAACATGCTCAGATTTCACACTCTATGCGTTCTATTACATTTTAAGAAGAGAAAAATTGAATATGCTCCTATATTCCATCTTAATATTTTGTATAAAATAATATTGCTTATTACGCGATGACTTACAAACCTTATTGTTTTACTTTGACATGTGTCACACAAAGATATGTTTGTTTTACAGGCGCAGTTACTCCCCTTTACTTAGCCATGTTGCCCCCAAACATTACTTCTCCCAAGGGTGAGCTCGTATCGGAAAAACAGATCGTCAAGTGGGAGATGACGAATAGCAAGTTGTAAAAGTGAAGAACTGCAAGACGTAAAAAAAACTGGGAAAGGAGAATGATGATCAATTCCAAGCCGAAAAAGGAAGAGGAGTTTCAATACAGCATGGCTGTTAGTAATCACACAATCATACAGACCAGACTGTGATAATGAACTGTCAATATAGATATACATTTATTTATTTCTTGTGTAGCGTGTTTTAAAATACAATTTAGAAGACATGAAAGTTTTATCTATCTAGTATTCTAGGAGCATGTATCAAAATGAAACCGATGAAGACTTTACCTAGTGACATTAAAGCACTACTTACTTACGTAATTATTAATATACAAAAGAATCAAAAGGAAAATAATTGCTTAGTGCATGTTGATATGTTCAATTGATTATGCTTTTACTTGAGCGATTCCAAAACGCAAAGACTCTCGTGAAAGTATTCTTTAAAATTTCAAAAGCTTGGATGCCTTATTCCGTCTTTGCGTATTGCAGAGTTATCTTCTCTTGTGAGCAGGTATTGATTGTTACGTCATTGGTTTGTGAGAGTAACGTCATCAATTTTTGAGAAAACGACCCAATTTTCTCACACAAACCAATGACGTAACAATCAATACCTGCTCACAAGAGAAGATAACTCTGCAATACGCAAAGACGGAATAGGTTTAACTGATGAGGCGAAGGAATATAATTCGCATCATGGTATAATTTTACTGTATATATTGATTCTTTAAAATAACTCAAACCAAGAATATTTCTCGTGTGTGACATTTTTGTATAACAATTTAAAGGCAATGGTAAATCTTGAACTGAGCCAATATGGCATTCATTTAAAACCTCACAATATGATGTCACAATGAAGTATCATGAAATATAGAGCCATTTTTTGAGATACTCGAGATGTCAAATCGTCCATTGTTGTCTTATCTCATAACGGATGACTATCATTTCTTATAAATTATTGACATGATCGCTTGCCATATTCTTGTTATCTATTGTCATGCATTCATTTGATAAAATCAGAACAGTTCGGTTGAACGATAACGTTATATAAAACCAAACAGTAGACTGCGGTAAACGGAAAGTTCATCAAGAAAGACACTATATAAGTCGAATTTGTGTAAAACTGTGGTCGAAAAGGTTTAGAGGAAATAAATAGGTTCGTAATAGAACTTTACTCCATCGACGAATTAAAATTAATTCAACTCAAGTTGTAGGTTTTTTACAGACACCTTAAACACTTAAGAATTACAATGCCTACAATCCCTAGAAGTTTATAGCCGACATACTCTAGTAATAATAGCTGTTATACTCTAAAATAATGATCACTAGATACAAAACTAAAAACATACACAATTATTTTGCGCTGTTGTACAACAAATTATAAACAAGTTTTTGAGAATTTTATAAGAGTCGTAGAGGTTAATAAAATAAGCATCTTGTATCAAAATATCAAGATAAACACTAGGTAGTTAGCCAATCGAAACGTTGGTAAAGTGTTGTCATATGTGTAGGCCTATACACATTTTTTCCAAGACGGAGGCGCTGACTGCAGGTTACAATAGCGCCTTACGCGACGTAAACATTGGTATAAGCTTTCATCTTTACAATATCGCTTATTACAAACTACGTCATATCCGTGCGTGACGTAAACATTGGTATACATTTTCATCTTTACAATATCGCTTATTACAAACTACGACATATCCTTACGTGACGTAGACATGGGAATTAGCTTTCATTTTTTTACAGTGTCGTTAACTTCAAACTACGTCATATCTTTACGTGACGTAAAAATGGAAATAATCGTAGAAAGATCTTTCATTGTTTACAGTGTCGCTAACTACAAAACTATTGCAAAGCCTTGCATGAAGTAGAACCCGATACTCTCGAAATAACCATAGTGACAAAACGTCAATCGATGATAGGAGTAACTGGATCGTAACGTATATAGTTTAATACACTGATACGAATTGAATACAGGCAATATATCCTAAAGTATGCTGATCCGGGGATTCAAGATATTTGCTACCTGTCGTTATTGTACTTTGTCTTATATATACTATTTGTGCAATTTTGCACGCATGTATATAACGATACATTGTGATCCAGGTTCTCGTATTATCAATAGATAATGTGTAACTATGATCGTGTCGGTATCATCAGACCGTTGACTATAGCAAATTTCCAAAACATCACCCCTTTTGAGGAGGTCACAACGGAGTTATGGTCAGCGCTGCATATAGTTCCCAGCTAGGCGATCTGGATCCAGGGGTCCTGACGACAAAGCCCGGACAGTGCTACGAGCGAAAACATTGTCTTCATTCTCCAGTTGTGCTTCTTTGTTTCATAACCTTTTATACATACAATGTATACATTAAAGTATGTTGATCTGAAGGATTCTGGTCGTAATTGCACTGTGTCTAATTTATAATTTAAAGTTGAAATTAAGTATGAACGTTCTAGGTGCCTTCAATCTTTGAAGGAATCTTCTGGAGGAACTTCGGTCATTGACGATATTCACTTACCATTGCACCAATAGGCACAAATCGGTAGAAATTATAAGTCGCAACAAGGATGACCCAACGAATACTGGTATTCAATTTATATATTTCACATCAAAACACCATTAATTTTAAAATAACTGTATTGAAGTAACTGTAGTTATTCTAATAAAAAAAATCAAAGAATCATCTTCATGACATATTTGCATCTAAAATAACAGTCAACACATGTTTCTGGTTTTAGCTTAAAGGTCCTCGTTCTTTACCTGATGATGGCCTCTTCAAAACCGATTACTAAGGACGTGCAGCGTATTCCATCTTTTCGTATTGGAGAGTTATCTGCTCTTGTGAGCAGGTATTGATTGTTACGTAATTTGTTTGTGAGAGTAACGTCATAACTCACACAAATTAATGACGTAACAGTCACTACCTGCTCACAAGAGCAGATACCTCTGCAATACGAAAAGACGGAATACGCACTCGCCAAAAGCAGACAACGTTAAATCCTGATCACAACCCTCCAAACTCACGAGACATGTAAAATGAAGTCCAACCCGAGCCGCGGATAAATGTTCTAGGTGATTATTCCAACATTTTTTAAACAATGGTTGTATTCCGCTTTGCGTATTGCAGAGTTATCTTCTCTTATGAGCAGGTATTGATTGTTACGTCATTGGTTTGTGGGAGAAAATTACGTCGTTTTCTCAATATTTATGACGTTTCTCTCACAAACAAATGACGTAACAATCAATACCTGCTCACAAGAAAGGATAACTCTGCAATACGCAAAGACGGAATACAACCATTGTTAAAAAAAAATAATGAGAGAAGTCTAAGTACAGCAAAGTGTAAATTGTATCGTTCATTTTTAATGTAGTATTAATTTCTATTTGTTTCATTATACATATTTAATGAATCAAAAAGTCAGTTAAGTCACTTTAATGTAATGTTGGGCTGAAGATTATATATATATCAAAGATGTATAAAAATGATAAAGGTATAGATAGTCATTAAAATGATAAAGGTATAAATAGTCATTAAAAGGATAAAGGTATAGATAGTCATTAAAAGGATAAAAGTATAGATAGTCATTAAAATGATAAAAGTATAGATAGTCATTAAAAAGATAAAGGTATAGATAGTCATTAAAAGGATAAAGGTATAGATAGTCATTAAGGGATGTGATATATATATAGTATGTTAACGTTCAGTGTTTCAAGATGGTTAACACAAAGTAGGACAAGACTGTAAGCCGTGTTTCTTATTATTCACTTCTTCATGTTTACCGATAGTCTCCTTTTTCTCTTCATGTCTTTGTTTTACTTTTCGCCTTCATTACCTAAAAATATGCTTTGTTTTGCAGGAGATAAATCATTATGAATACAGTTAATGTGATAATCAATAAATCCATGGAAGCATTTTAATCTTTCATTTGAAACTGTTTCCTCATATATATTGACAATGGCTAAGTAAACGCAACTAAACAGTTTTGATATTTTCACGGTAAATTGCAGTATCAATGTATACTTGGACAAACATATATGTTACAGTAAAGATATTATTTAATAGTGTCTCTGGAGTTTTATCATAATTGTAATTGGTTAAAGATTGAATATCTGCAGCAATTTTTCTTAATGTAGATTAATACGTTTGTGTGGAGATTTGATCAACGTATTCAAGTTGATGATTGATTCACATGATTCAAATCTCCTTTATATAAGAAGCCTCATAATGTACCATAGACTAATATAGCTGTACTATGTGTTCGCTATATTACAGAAGACAGCATTACTCCTTATCAGATATGTGAAAAACATATTATACTATCTGCATGAAAATCTAAAACAACATAACCGTCAAACGATTCGAAGTAGAGAATAATCATTGAATGGTTCATTATTATCTCAACATACTCCTACAGAGAAGATAATGTTTTTTAAAGACGAAAAAGTCCCCTTCAAATTTGAGTGTGTGAACGGTGTGTATATGTGTTAGGGGGAAAACCCATCCAAACTACTTCCTCTCTGGTTCAGCATGAAGTTAGGCACCTTGTTTTGTATCACATTTCGATGTATTAATGCATACTTATTCCAAAAACGTTATGCTATATGTACTAATATGTACAAGATTAATATTATTTGGCTTCCAAAAGGTTTTGTCGATAGAAAAATGACATTTATATTAAACCGGAACTTGTCGTCCAATCTTACGCTTGATTATGTCAAATGCAATTTTACAGAACTATTTCGATTCCAAATTTGCGAAATTTAAAATGAAAGCTGAAGTCAGTTTTCCACTAATGTGGAAAAAACCTGACTAGTTATTAGGTTTCCAGTTTGTGGAAATATTTGAATTCAGTTTGATGTAATGATCGAATTTTTCAACTGAGATCAGTGCAACTTTAGTTTGGTATGCAATACACATGTCAAAAATATTACTCATAAATTATCAATAATACGACACGAACAACATTTTTTCCTTCTTCAGTTTATTGTGGTTTAAGTCTGTAACAATTAATTGACTCTACCAGAATTGTAATTCCTGCATTGTTGACCAGGAGGTCCAGTCCACCATAACTGTCCTGAGGAATGTCTTCAGTTTGACAATCGTGTCCGGCTTTCTGATGTCCAGCTGGTGGAACTTTGCATTACACCCCTCTTTCTTCAGGTCCTCCACCGCTGTAAGTTCTTCATTTCTTGCTGTCAACGACACACCGTTATAATTTGCTTGTTTCGAAAACTCGCATGTCTTATTACGTATTTTGTAAATTGTGACAAAATATCTAAATACGTCTTTACCCAGGGTATTTAGAGTAATTAGTTGTATCTTACAGTAGCGAGTGCTTTAAGGTTCTTACATACTTGCTATAGAGATTTTTCCACATTGAAACGTATTCCATGCCATTAGAATTCGGGTCATCATGAAATAATAATTTTCATAGTAAAATTCAAACGTGTAATACATCAGCTTATCTGATGTAACAAATGCTGTATATTAAATCAATTATGTATATGGCCGTACATATACACAAACAAATGTACACATTTGCTATTAGTCCCCGGATGTGCCGTTGCATCAACGTATTTTTAAATAGGAGATCTTAATTTCATAGTACCTCAAAGGGTGATTGACTCTGCTGTCTGACAAACAGTCTCAGACATTAAACGTTACATTGTAAAAGACACGGTCAAAACAATAAAATACACGATTAAGAATACATTATTTGCTGTATCCCACAACTGTAAACTTTAGAAGTTAAAAAGAGTTTTTAGGTATTGCATTTTTTAGCATTAAAGTTCTAAAGAGACAATCTGTCCATATTGTGCTGTAAAATCGACCGACCATATTTTTAAATGAATGCTTTCTCGCTTGTCAACAAAGTATCATTGCTAGCCACAAAAAGCAAACTTCATTAAGTGCACTAGTCCTGAAAGTACTAAAGATGTAAGACAGGTTTGTTGATCACGCGCACACTAACGCTACAGTTGCATTAAATTTAGCTTACCTGTAAGGTAGACATCACCGTCATACAACTGTTTACAAAGTCCCCGTACACAGGCAAACCCTATACCCTTGTTGGATCCGGTCACATAAAGTTATATTACCATAAATTTGTCAGTAAAACTGTTCAAAGTTGACCAGCTTAACGCTCTCAATTGTCTTTATGAGAACATTTGAAATATTAATTATCAATCAGAAGAATATTTAAAATTTTGATATAAGTAATATTACAGGGGTTATTCATTGTACAAAAATATCACACATGACCACCGTACGCTACTGTACACTGCTACCTAAAGATTTGTCAACATGTCTAGCACTTTTAATGTAAGAAACAATTGTGTTCACTAAAACATTATATTAGAACGGATTTATATAACATGGAAGGGAATAACGACTTACCATGGCAACGCGCTTACTTCCACCCATTCTTTAAGTTCAATGTTCTACACTGTGTTGTGTCAGGTATGGCGACGTTACACATAGTGACATGCTGACCTCATTATTATACAGTTCCAAGTCGGTAATTTCTTTAATCGTTTTTGTTTTACATGAATCATGACCTGGCCTTATTTAGAGCAGTGTTATGAGATATACACAGTAGTCATTTAGACAACGTCCAATTGTGAAATGATTGCCCACATTGTCAGCAATTCGATGTCTGTTTTGTACATGAAAATATAATTTTAGCAAGGGGTTAGTGACCACATTTGGCTGAAAATGTATATACTTGATGAACTTAATGACCGGATGAGAAGAATTATTGGTTCACCTACCCGACCACATGCGTGTTCTCTGGGTACTCATGTGTCCTTCACATCAATCAGGGCCAACAGGAGTGATTAGTATGCCAACTTTTGTTTCATTGTTGGGTTTTATTTCAATATTTGTTACGTTTAAGATTGTTTTGCTTGTTTTTGCTTACAATTTCGGGCTTTCATTTGTATGATAGTTGAATTATGGTTTCAGGTTTTTTTCTTTGTTATAATTCGGCGCAGTCGAGTTGATGTGGTCGAGAGTAAGATATCCTGTTGCATGTGTTGCGCAGTAAGAGATAAATTGTATGTTACATACAAAATAAAACATTTTGTTGAGGTAGACACAGGGTCACATCAACTGAAGCCATTTCTTTTAATTGATTAATTATTATAATTGACTTTTTCAGCAAAAACAAAGAACAAAAAATTCAGCGGTAATATTAATGGATATTCTCACCTAAATCAATTTAAAACCGGATGTATTTACAGAGATCTACTTTAATCAGTGAAATCGACTGTCACGCGTTTACAATCGAGCTGAAAACAGTTTTATAGGAAATAATATGAAATTGTATAATACCATAAGATCATAACAAAAATTAATTACAAAACTAATTATTGTTTAATAAAATAGTACATCGACCCGGTATTAAAATTTTTTGGTTTGATTTTTTTTTACTTAATCATACCTTCATGTCGTTTTGTAGATATGAAATGAAAATTAAAACAATATCATTTCATGTTTTTTTTTAAACGCAGCTGGAAATACCAGTTTCATTGGTTTATTATTTTGTTTATTGCTTATTGGTTATTCAGAATGAATGATTGAATCAATAAATAAATGAATAAATGGATTTGCATGGAAGAATGAATCAACCAATAAATCAAACAGTTTCCGGTTGTTATTAACTAGTTGTAAAAGTAATACAGACCAGGTGATGTACTATATATTATTATTAAAGAAAATGGAATTTTAAAACTAAATGTAACAATAAGACAAAACTGAAATGTATTTGTTTTATTTCACTAAAGTATTGTTAATTTTGACTTTTTCCCGACCCCTTGTGTATAAACATATATATATATATAAAATGAAATTTACAAGTAAAGACGTAAAAACATAATTGAAAGAAATTGTCTTTTTAGTATTTTATTATGATATTATGTACGGATTTATATAACATCATTCAAAACGTTTATCCAAACACTCTTCTTTTATGCCTGAGTTATCTCCCATTTGCCGATGGTCCTGTCAGATACGAACTCCCCCTTTGGACTGTCCGTGTTTGGAGGGAGCATGGCGAGGTACAGGAGGGTGTCGGCACCTTGATATAAAGAATGTTTTTGTTTTACATCTAATTGTCTTAAAAACATATTATAGCAATATCTCATGAAAGTAATGTTTTCATTTTATCTTACCGGCTCATAACAATAGGTTCATGTCAATTTTTATGATAATTTGTACATCACAGATGGAGCGTTTTGATCAATATGAAACGCCACAGAAAAATCGTTCATACTTTTTCGTTTAGATGACTTCTGATTATGCTTAAAAAAAATCTCTAAAGAGAAGAAAAAATATATCTTAATGAGAAATTATTTTGAACTCTGCGACTTCAACTCATGTTTCTATTAACTGAAACGCATTTTTTTTAAAAAGAAGTATTATACGATGCATCTCATACTAATAATACTAATACTTTATGTGCAATCTATTTAATCATAGTTTTAGTTGTTGTATAATATATTTAATATAAAATCATGCGTGCTATCACCTTGATCGATGGTTTTTGTTCCTTTGTGTGACGTCAGATCGGTATCCACATAACCGGGGCAGCACTAAAACATAAAGAGATGTATAATAACATTACCGCTGCAAGCGTATATCAAAACACTATGGGAAGACATTTTATTAATAGGAAGTCAGCAGTCTGTGAATGTTATTGGTTCATTTGAACTGATATTTTATTATTAACTATGGTGAACCGCAAACTGGCTATATGTATATTGAACATGAAGTTCTAGAAGATGTAAATTACTTACCTATATTAAATGCAAACTCTTTTTAAGATTAGTCTCCCTTAAATGAAGGTTTATCAACTTTTTCTACTAATTCACAGGTAATCGTATGTTTTGCATATATTCTGCGTGGTAATTTTCCAATATGTCGTGTTATTTTATAACTGAAGGCAGCTTAAATATATTTTACAAATTCATTAGCGTGGAACTGTTTTGTCAAAGGAAGTTAATATTTTGTAACAGATGTGTTTATCTAATTTCATTACATAACAATATATAAACAAATAATTATGTAATATTTTGTGTTTTAAATCTAAAAAATCAAATCACTATTTCGTCTTATGATGTCACCTGAAGAAATCAATATTATTATCACTCTAAAATCAATATTTTCTTTTTTAGAAATTTAATATAATTATTAATCATACCGCGTTGACGACAATGTCTGCCCTGGCGTCTTTCTTCAACTCTCGCTGCTGTATAATAGACATAACGGTCACACCGATCTTAGAGCAGCCATAGGCACTGTCTGGCCAGCCGAAATCCTTATGGGTCCCCGTCTTTGTTGAACTAAAAGAATACATGTATTGAGACAGTGTGGATGTTAATCGGGATCTCAGAAATAGTACTGATAGTTCGAGATTCTTGCAAGATTTTATTTCCTTTTGGAGATCGCGTTTGCAATTATGAACTCATAACATTTTATAGTAATTACACTTGTTCAATGATTTGTATTAAAATTAATCATCAATTGTACTAATATCATCTTCCTCTCCCTTGAGGGTGTGACAGAGAAATCTCCTACACGAGGGTTGATGTTTTTAGTTGTCTAACCCGAGGCACTTCAGAGGGTAAGACAACCAAAACAATCACCCTGAGGGATGGAGATTTCCCTGTTACACCGTCAACGTAGTGGATGATTATTTTTTTCCCATCCTATTATTTCAGTCTTTTCTACCGACCATAGTCAGTCATGGTTGTAAACTAAAACACATGTGGGGTATGAAAATCGTCATTCGCTTTTAATGACGTCACAATTGAAACGTGCCAATCGGCACGAGGCTATCTCCCACTAGGGGTGACACACTTTTCTCCCACTCTTCACAGGTGTATCTCCCGTTTTAGCCGGGAAAGATCAGATTGTCACTCCCTAGGGGGAGATAGCCTCGTGCCGATTAGCAGTTGTTCAATTATTAAATGCGTCACCGGTAATTGTGACGTCATCAAAAGTGAATGACGACATTCATACCCCACATGTGTTTTTGTTTACACTACTGTCGGTGAAGTTGTGTCTGAAATAAAAGGATGGAAAAAAAACAATCATCCCCTACCTTGAGAGTGTGACAGGGAAATCTCAAACCCTCGGGGTGATTTTTTGGGTTGTCTAACCCTCGGCAGAGCCTCGGGTTAGACAACCAAAAAACATCACCCCTCGGGTTGGAGATTTCCCAATCACACCCTCTAGGTAGGGGAAGATTCTATTAATCATTCCCGGCTAAAAAAAGGAGTGGGGTGGGGTTGGGGGACACACATATGATAGGAGGGAGAAAGTTTAATTATGAGACAGAGTATTTCATGTTTCATGCAATGTGTCATGATGATAATGATAATGACAATGACACAAACTTGACAGGAATAATTAACCTAATGTCCATTGTACATGATATACCTACTCCACAAATTGTTTTAAGAGAGTCTTCATTTCTTCCATTGTAATACGTGTGCGGTCTACCAGTTTCTTTTGTAGATCTGCTCTGCATTTCCTTAAGGCGAATTGAGACACCATACTGGATACATTGACGACTCTGAAATAATACATAATATTCAGATTATCAAATTGCCAATAAATGGACTAAAATCATTTTACGCGTAGTATGTGTCCGGTAATATTTCCTAGGTACTAGTAATCCAAAATATTGGCAATGATTGATAGATATGAGCTAAATATAAAGCACATAAATACAACTTGGTGTTTCTATTGCGAGGAACAGTTTTTATAATTTTCACCAAAACATGTTAGCCTTTTAAAACGTTAATGGAATTCTACATCTCCTCAAGTAAACACTCAAATAATTATCAAATGTGCTGAACAAAACTTTGCATTGTCCTTTAATTTCAAAGTACACTTTCGGATGCCCATAATGGTCCCGAGCATTCCGAACGTTACCTAGAAGATAATGTTATATTTATTGCTGCAGATATGTTAAAATGTGAGTTTTAGCTAAAAAATAATTAGAAAAAGAGTAATGTATTATGTAGGTTTAGTGGATATGGAAATTCTAACCTCGAAGAAGGGCTCTTAATATCGTTTGGCATCGGTTTGACCAAAATTTTATACTCTCTTGTAGAAATTTCATATCCCATATTTCATATAACATTGAAGCGTGCCTGTCATGTTACATTTCGTCCCAGATGAAAAACCCCACTTAATTCATGTCAACAATATCATCATCAGTGCATATTTTTATTGTCATAATGAGCTTGATTTTAGCAAACACACACATAAACTTCTTGGCATTGAAGCATTACTTTACTGTCATCATTATAAGATATTGTATCAAAGTTTTAAGTGCCATTTTGATTGTTAATAAAAAAAAGTGTCAGCCATTATACGGGGATGGATGGTGGGAGATGGCCTCTAAAAACAAGATACTATCGGTGTAGTTCGAACTCAAAATCGATAAAATTCGGGTAAAAATAGCCGAGGAAAGATTTTAACTGCATATCGAAAAAGATATTAAGACCAAGTGTTCCAGAAGGGTATACGTCTTCAGTTTCAGTATGATGCATAGCTCACATTTAAGAAATGTCACGTCCTCAAAGCCAAGAGATTCCAACATGACACCTTTAAGAGCATAATCAAAACCATGGATCTCTATTTTACAGAAGGAAGTCGGATGTTTTCCATTGATATCATGATGTCGACCATAGCATATATAACCCACTCGTAAACCTTTGTTAAAAGTTTGTCTGTCAGCAGTAAAGACTTATCAGGCAATTCATTTTATTAACAAAGCAAGCATTTGGATACCGGATCAACAGCGACATATAACAGCATATGTTCGGGAAGTAGGGATGATACTATCAAGGAACCAGATGAAGTACAGTCTGCAGTGATATTGATTTCAAGTTCAGGATGGTATTCAGAGATGTCAATAGATATCTTGTTAATACTATAAATTGTTTTCTTACGGTTAACGCATGTAAAAAGGAAAACCAAAGAGATCTGTTGGATTATAATTCATAATCAATATAATGAATTTCTTTGAGTCTAATCAGATTATGTTTAAGAATCAAGTCACAAAATTAGATATGAAACTTATCAGTTGTGACGGAATGGATATTTGATTCATTCCATATATTCTCTTATCAGGCAATGTTTTATCTCATGGATGGATATTGTGATCGGAAAAAAAATCAATTGAACGCTTGATGTCATGATGTGAATATTACATTGTTAGACCTTGTGATGTCATCAGCGTTATCTTCGTACGCACTGTTAGATAACACTAAAAATTGAGATGGAAGCTATTCATCCGATCTTTCTTTAAAACTAAACCAAATCCGGATCTACCTTGCGTGTGGCCTGAGAAGAGGGAACAGTTCCTCACACACATCAAGTGTTCCTGTGAAATTTGTTTTGATTGTTACCTCCGCCTGCTCAGCGAATGGTGCAGTTGATGATTGCTGGAAAAGACCATTTGACATGATTAAAATAAAAATCAAACGATAAAAATTTGTTAAGATATGTCGTTTCAGGAAAAATTGACACAGACGAATAGATACCTTACTAGTTTGTCAATACAGTGTATTTCATAAAAGTAAAACTAATTTCAATTCACACATTGAATGATCATAGGGTTGGACATATAATTAAATTAATCTATATTGCAAATTCCAAATGTTAAGAAGTTACTTTTAATATCTATATTATAAAACAGAATGTTTTGTTCTGTTCTAATATCTACAAAGTGTGTAGTTATTATTTATTTAGTTATATAAATGGATTAACATCTATGAATATGTGGAATTTTACCTTGTAGGCAATGCCTGCATTATTGACCAAAATGTCCAGTCCACCATAACTGTCCTGGAGGAATGCCTTCAGTTCACGAATCGTGTCCGGCTTTGTGATGTCCAGTTGATAAAACTTGGCGTTACAACCCTCCTTCTTCAGGTCATCCACGGCTTTAAGACCAAGTTCCTTATTTCTAGCTGTAAAGATAGATAATTATTTGTTATTAAGGTGCATTCAGTTGGTATTCATAATAATTTCATGAAGCGAAATACGGCTTCATATTAGAAATGTAAATTGCAGTTGCATTTATATTGATTACGAGTTTGATTTTAAATAATGAATAAATCATTTAAAACAATTGTTGTCAAAAACAACAAAAAAGTCATTGAAAATTAAATGAATTTAAGAAAATTCAGAATTGAGGTCGTGTCTGTCTTTTAATCATGATTAACTGTTTTTAATAAATATAACATCTTCAAGGTACTGTAATTGGATGCAACGCTCGATTATAAGGTTAAAATAAACCAGACGTTAACACGTGGGTCATGCAATTTATAGCTTATGTGTATGCCATATGAATTGGGTAAATTTATACAGTGACAATGTCATGGAATGATCACATCTACACGATAACACTATTTTCTTTAAGACGAGCCACATTGTAACTGTCGTAACGTCTAGCTATAAGACATCATACAAGTGGTATTTTTGGTTGCCATGGTAACGATGTAGCGTTAAAGATATTAGATTAGATATCAGGCGACTAATCGTTTGTATACCAAATATAGGTACAGGGGAATAATATTCGATACATAATTTGTATCTTATAGAGATAAGAACTGATTTTACGTAGCAAAAATATGAGGATTATATTACACTGCGAAGGCAAACATTGAAGCCACTGTCAAATAATGTGTTACCTTACCTGTAACGTAAACATCTCCGTCAAATTGTTTGCACAGTCCCCGCACTACTGCGTATCCTATACCCTTGTTTGATCCGGTCACCTGAAAGCGAATTTAAAATGAAATCTTGATGTGAGGTGGTGATAGTTTATCAGTTAAACACGATTCGCCATTGACCAAATGTTCCCTCATGTCTTAAAAATTATCTGATTTTTTTTGTTTTTCTTTATTTTCCTGAATATTTTCGATCATTTTGTTCCTGGATTTTGATATATACAAATACGAAATAAAGGATCATGATCGGAAATATTGACTTAATATGAGAAACCATATAACGATATTGTCAATTTAAAAAAAGAATATATTTTACCATTGGTGTAGTATACATGCATAACGCAGTGTTTGAATAGAAGAAATCTATCGTTAAGGTTCAACAAGCCTCCTAAGAAGATGATATAAACGTATCCAAAAATAGAAACAATTACAGTCCTGCTATTTATACAAGGCACCAGCAGATAACCATGATATGCAACCAGAATATTATAAATATTTACCATTATTGGAAAATATACACAACGAATCTTTTGATATATGCTATGCTAAAAGTTTTGACCACATTGTGATATAATAACACTTTACCCGGCTTATTTAAACCGTAGTGTTCAATGGTACTTGTGTTTTATAACCAACATATACATTCTATGTAACAACTCGCTTAAATGTGATCATGTCTTTGTAAATATACATGATATAGTCATTGGTTTTAGTACTTGTTTTTTTCCAACATTACATTATAAAATAAATACTTTTATATCTTAACTTACCACGGCAACACGCTTACTTCCACTCATGTTCACTGTCCGGCACTGTTCACTGTGACGTTACCTGTACGACAGCGTTACACATCGTGACCCCCAGTTTCGATCAATAACCACACATACCGGCCAAAGGGTTTAACCGTTGAATAGTGCTGTATCAGTGTATCTACAAAGGTTTATATTAGCATAATATGCTAAAAGATATTAATGCAAATAGAACATAAACAATTTTGAATTAATCTGGATAAGACAGAGCAAATAAAACAATATGGTCTAACTAGTGTACCGTCAGGAGGATATGTTTTATATCTTTAATTTTCAATCCAAACTCACACGTCGATTTACAGCGTTACATATAGTGACACCGGATTCGATCAATGAACAAGTAAAGGCCAAAGGATTTAAATGTTGCATAATGTTATATTGACATACAATAGTAACTTGTTTTAATTTGAATAGAAACCAAACAATGTAGAAGATATTAAGATAGGACAGAGCATTTAAACAACTAATTATTGTACCGTCATGAGCATATGTCGACTATCTCCATCGAAACCATACACATGGAGTCCCTTATGTCGTGCTTAAGCATAATCTGTTTGGGGTACATGTAAAAATTAGAAGCAAAACAAGAGTATGCGGTCGCATTTCATTTAATTAGTGGGATTTTTTTTTAAAGTCAAAATCCTGTAAGCACGTTCAGTAACTTTATGGTCATTAATTGGGTATGGAACAGGAAAAAGTGATAGAAAAGTCTAGATCCAAAATGTAAAATACACCGATGATGGGGAACATTCGTGTATTCAAGAAAAACTCCGCATAAGTATGGATTCTGTTAGCTTGATAAAATTGATATCTTAACATATCTTACCAAATAAAAAAGATAAAAATACGCTAGTGATGTTGTTAAGCGTGACGTCAATACAGAATGGCGTCAAAGATCCATGCACTTTTTCGATCATTTTATTTCAGTCTTTGTGCAATGTAGGTAGACTGTTGAGTAAAAATGATATAGTGTGAATAAAAAAAGTGAATACCGAATACTAAAGACTCCCTTCGCCGAATATACCATTAAATTATATCTAATTATTATGAAAACATGTGTAATATAAATGGAGTTTAGTGAAATTGTTTTGTCAGTAGGATACATGGTATGGAAATACATTATTGCATTAATTAAAACATTTGCTACTTTAGTGATGATTTAATATTATATTTCAAACCGATTAAAATGCAGAAAAAAATATATACCTCACCGCCAACATATAGGATTAACATAAAAATATAAATTTCCATAGCTTGAATACGCAAGAACAAAATCGAATCCTCAATTTAATATAACAAAGCACAAGAACAATCTCTGAATGAAATGCCAATACTAGGGACAAAGGAAACAACAACACATTTGGATAAAAATATCATGAACCCCATGCATGAGTTCCGGAAGAGAAGACCATTATCAGACCCTATGGTGCACCATCGATAATAAATACTATGCAATCTAGGTGAAAATAAAGGTAATCAATGATTTAGGAGGAACTGATCTTATTCACAGGGTTAATTGAAGTGTCCATAAAGTGGAAGTCAAAAAGTTAACCAAATCATTTCTTGAGCGTAAATTCAACATTTGTAGGTAGTACACGCTGGCTCAATAGGCCATTGGTCGATAGGGCTTATCTTTAAGAAAATTATGTTGTTGTTTTTTTACCAGAATTATGAAGGAAATCAGAATCATTTGTGACATGTAAAGCAGGACAGACTGTTCATCACGTCATTTAATAATTGTGCAGCTGAAGAATCAAACCTTAGCGATATAGTCTTTTTTCAGGGCATGGATCACCAGGTTCATTACTTCATGCTGTGATAACACCAAATGTTGTATTTCCGAAGAAGTCAGATTTGAATTTATGAGTTGCTATCAATTGATCAAATCGACGAATCGACACGGAATGTTTCCAATATTTTTATGCCCTGTTGATATGACGTCATTATTTCCTTTTTGACGCGTTCTATCTGTCATTGTTGTTCGGTTATAATTTTCGTAAAGCATACATGTGACATTTATACAGGGTATTGATCAGTAAAACAGCAAAATGCGTTTTAATACCAGTTAAACATATGTAATAAAGCTATTGCCAATTTAGTTTCTGATAAAAATGAATGGCTCAAAGATACACATGCTATCCTTACACACTCATTGGTGCATAATTCGTTCTAATAATCAACAGGAAAAGCCATTTTTTCATACCTTTATATGTCATTTTGTAGATATTGTAAGAAAAAACTGAGATATATTTGTATTTATTTTATTTCTCTAAAATATTTTTTGAATGTTCAGGTTTTTTTCTCCCGACATCATGTGTAAACAAATATATATAAAATGGCGTTTACAATTCAAAATATAAAAAGAACAAAAAATAATATATATTCTTTATTGTTTCATTATGATATTGCGTACGCTTTGATATGATATCTTTCAAAATGTTAATCCGAAAACACGTCTTTTATGGTTGAGTTATCTCCCATTTGCCGATGGTCCTGTCAGATACGAACTCCCCCTTTGGACTGCTCGTGTTTGGAGGGAGCGTGGCGAGGTACAGGAGTGTGTCGGCACCTTGAAATAAAGAACGATATTTCAAACGTTTTTGTTTTACAACTCATTGCCTTCAAAAAACATTCTAACAGTATTTGGTTGTTAGTTATGTTTTCATTTGATCTTATTAGTTCATAACAAAAGATTCATATCAAAATGTATATTATTTTTGTACTAACACAGTTGGAAGTAGGTCGAGCGTTTTGATTAGTATAAAACACTGCAGAAAAATCGTGCATACTATTTACGTAAGATAATTCTGATTCTGCTAACAAAATTTCTCTGAAAAGAAGAAATATTGAATGAAAAGTTATTTGTAACTCTGCGTCTTCAGCTCATATTGTATCCCAACAACTGATATGTAGTTTTCAAAGAAATATAATACGATTCATCTCAACATTTGTTTTATAGCATTAGTAATAATTTATATGCGATGTTCTTTATCACAATTTTTATAGTTAAAGTAGTCGTGGTATAATATATATAACATTTAATCATGGGTAATATCACCTTGATCGATGGTTTTCGTTCCTTTGTGTGACGTCATATCGGTATCCACATAACCGGGGCAGCACTAAAATATAAAGAGATGTATAATCATATTACAGCTGCAAGCGTATATAAAAAAATAAACATGAAAAATGTTCATTCGTCGGCCTATGAACGATTTTGGATAATTTGACGGATATTTTGATATCAACTAAGGCATAAAAGCAAACCGGCTATATGTATATCAAACACGAAGTTCATTAATATTTAAATTACATGTACAATTCGTTGGTAGAATAACTTCCCTTTTATAACGAATTATCATCATTCTCTTCTAATTCACAAGTAATCGTGTGTTAATGAGCCATATACTGCCTTGTATATTTCCAATATGTTTTGTTCTCAAACAACCGAAGCCAACAAAAATATATTTTACAGATTCAATAGCGTGTTACTGTTTTGTCACAGCAAGCATATATATCTAATAAACTTTTCAGATACATAAAGCATTACTTCCTTATCTGATTTAGATCAGTTAATATATAAACCATGAACATTTTGCGGGTTTTAAATGTACAAAATCAAAACACTATTTGTCTGATGATGTCATAATCATTGATTTAATGACATTATTATTTCAACATTAGAAGATATCAAAACTACAATAACTCTAAAATAGAAAATATGTTTTTTTATAAAATGTTATACAGTTATTAATCATACCGCGTTGACGACAATGTCTGTCCTTGCGTCTTTCAGCAACTCTCGCTGCTGTATAATAGACATAACAGTCACACCGATCTTAGAGCAGCCATAGGCACTCTCTGGCCAGCCGAAATCTCCTTGGGTCCCCGTCTTTGCTGAACTAAACGAATACAGGTATGGAATCAGTGTTGAACTGAATCGGAATTGCAGAAGTAGTCCCGATATTTTCGAGATTCTTGCAAGCTTTCATTTTCCTCTACAGATCGCGTTGGCTATTATAAAATAATCACGTTTATTGTACTGACATTATGCAATGATTTGTAGGAAAATGAATACAAACAGCGATTTGACGGTTTATTGATGAGGCAGAGTATTTCATGTTTGTTTAAATATTATAATATATCACAATGATAACATAGTGACATTGACACACATGTGACAGGAGTATCTAACCTAAGGTCCATTGTACATGATATACCTACTCTACAAATTGCTTTAGGAGAGTCTTTATATCTTCCATTGTAATACGTGTTCGGTCTACCAGTTTCTTCTGTAGATCTACGCTGCATTTCTTTAGTGCGAATTGAGACACCATACTCGATACGTTGACCACTCTGAAATAATACATAATATTCATATTATCAAATTTAGATTAAATGGACTAAAACTTTTTATTTTTTGTGTCATGAAATTTTATTACATCTTTACAATGAAAAGTTTGTATTTATTATTTAGTACTCTTTTTTGACTGAAACAGGATGTCTTGAAATTTTGAATAATGTGTAAGTCATGCATAACATTACATCTTATCAACTAAAGATTGATGTAATTACCTGTACAAAATGTTGTATGGGCCAAAGGCCTTCAACAATTCAGTAAAGGTTCTTGAACTTGAATTTGTGTAAGGAAATGATTCCTTGGTATCAGAATTAGTTACCCCAAAACGTCGACAAAGGTTTATAGAACTTATTTATTGCAAAATAAACGCAACCGGTGATGACTATTTTGGGGACCATTTGTTTTAGTAATCTTGGGAGGGGAACGTTTGCAGTTCAAACATTTCAGTTCCATACTGGCCTACGTCTTTAAATGTGACATCATTCAGGATGATACGTGACGACATTATGTTGGAGTTTTGAAAAGCAGAAGAAAACCTACCGTTAAAATGTAGTCGGCATCTGCCGAATTACTTATCTCGAAGGATGGGCTCTAAATTGCGGTTGGCATCGGTTTGACCAAAATTGTACAGTATGTGCTAAAATTTCCATATCCCAAATGTCATATCCCAAAAGGTATTATCTCTCTAAATAAAGTATGCCTGCCATGTCACATTTCGTCCCAAATTAACCACTAAATTCAAACTACCTTGCATTGAAATGTTACTGTACTGTCATTATTATAAAATATTGCAAGAAAGTTGTAAGAAGAGCAATTTAACAGTAGTGGGTCGTGGGAGATCTATTACTAATAATCATAAAATACTACAAAAACAACAAGAAAATACCGTAGTGTAAACAAGT